AGTCGTAACCGATTCTAGCAGTTTTATTACTTACATAATTAATATATTACGATTTAAGTTCCAAAACTGCGAGTCAAACAAAAAAGCAAGATTAAACCACTATAATTATGCTACTTTATCTTCATCCAATTGTTGGGCATTTACACATATCGTTAATTAAAGTTCCCCGTTGTGTCTGTCTGTATGTATGTCACGCTATTCACACACTCAAAAAGACAGACAGTTCTGTATCGGGGAAAAACGCTATGGCTTCTACCCTCCGGCACATGAGTAGAGAAACCGACCTCTTTACTCTGTTTCTCCGGTCCGCCGGTGGCCCCTGTTGCTATGATGGCAGTTTCTGAGAAAATAAGAACGCCGTGCTTCGGTAGCACGGCCGATGATCCTTTTATTTGGTTGATGCAGCTGCATCCCACACAATGAATATGTACTGCAAAGAGCTATGACTAAGTTTTATGTAACGAGAGATAAAACCTACAAACTAAGCATAATTACTACCTTAAAATTAGATGTAGAGTTGTCTAAAAACGATTCATAGTTTAACAGATTCTTTCATTTTTATGAAATATTTACGTGACCATTATAAATAAAGGCTGACTAAGAATGTTTTCCGTTTTTGATTTGAGTATTACGTGCCACACACAAACAGCGGGGGGTAGTGGTCTCAATTGCTTGGCGGATTTGTTTAGTTTAGTAGCCAACGGTTCACGAGAGTGTAGCACGGATTTTGCGTGCGAGCGTTTTATGAAAGCAATGATTCGTACACTATCGTTCGACGTCTCTACAGGACACATTTTAATTTAACGGCAATGAGAAATATGCCAAGTGCAAATTTAATCAAGCATTGGGTGCGCAAGCTTGAAAAGACTTGAAATACAAAGTCAGATTATTGAACTGGGCGCTAAAAGGCATCGAGAACGAGCATGAATGTCGACCGCGTACGCCAGACTGTTATGAACAACCTATGACAATCGCTACGATTACGTGCAGCATCATTAAATTTGAATAAATCCACGTTTCGTTGATTTATTCACGAAGATTTATATTTTCACCCATATAAAATTTTAATTATTGAAGAAATGAAACCCGATGAACTCATTAAACGATTTAAATTCTGCAGGACAGTGAAAAGTATGTTTTAGGAGTTTCAATAACGTTTACTTCTCCGATGCATCGAATTTTCAAATGAACGACCATGTAAACAAACAAAATTGCAGATATTGGGTTCCCAGTAATCCACTAGAACTGTTTCAGAAACTATTGCACTCGCCGAAAGTTGTCGTTTGGGCTGCCATATCAAATCGAGGAATAACCAACCTTTACTTTTATGAAGATGGCCGTGGTCACACTCAGACCGTTAACTCCGATCGACAATGCCTCATGATCCTGACTTTTTTTGACATAGAAATACAAAAGCAGATTGGCTACAACCGGAACTCATTTTTTCAGCAACATTTCTTACGTTACCAATGACACGTTAGCTGCTCTTCACGATTTATTCCCTGAAAGAGTAATAAGCCGCTGAGGAAACATTAACTGGAGCCCAGATTTAACGCCTGCTGATTTTTTTCTATGAGGTTGCCGTTTTTTTCATTGCCACCCAACCTTAATGTTTAAGCAAATAATCACAGAAGAAATATACGTTATTCCAACAGTGATACTTCAGCGAGTAATTGAAAATTTTGATTTCAGGCTAAATGAGTGTGAAGAAGTGGGTGTACCACCACTTTTGTAATCGGTTGTTTTTATAAATAAATTATAAATACAGCTCTTTGTTCCCGTAGAAACGTATATTTAATTTTTTGTACAAATATTTCCTACGATCTCATATTACTTTATTAACAAGGCGGTAATGCTTATCGTGTTATGCAAACTGTACTCTATTCAGAAATTGATATTCTGTTTAGTTTCCCTTTACTCCTTGGTTTGGTCAAGATCTGACGTACAACTTTTATTATTTTGAAAAAATCTATAGAATGAAGCGCAAAGCAAGAAAAACACGAATTAAAATTTGATGAAAATGAATATAATCTCTTAGTCACCCGGATAACATTTTATCGCGTGTTTTATTTATTTTAAGATTAATATTTTGGAATATAAATGTATTTTTCTCATCTGGTTGGGCTGGATAAATATATATTATCTAATATAGTAACATAATGTAAATTTATGTAAATAATAATGTAAATTTATTATCTAATATAGTAAAATATATAAATAAAAATACATAAATAAATAAGAATCAAACCAGATAATATAAGCCAACAGACTAATATGATGCGTATAAAGCCCTCGGCAGAGGAGACCAAACGGCCAAAGTTTAGGGGGAAAGAGAAAGGAATCAATGGACGATGCGGGGCGGGCGATATCGAGGACGAGCGACATTGAGGAGCGTTTTGCATAATTAATATTAATATAGTTTTACCAGATGGAAGTTAGCGTCGAACATTCTTTTTTTTAACTAAGCTATATGCCAATTCATTGCTCCATAAATGCTCCAGCAGAATCCGAAATCGCTCCACCTCTATTATTATTAGTTAATTTATAATAAATTTTTAAAAAATTTAAGTATCGAAAATTTAATTTTGCTATAAAATATAAAATATCTACTTTTTAAAATTAAACTGTATGTCAATTAATTTCTCCTTAAATGCTCCAGCAGAATCCGAAATTGCTCCACCTCTATTGTTATTAGTTAATTATTAATCAATTTAAAAAAAATTAAGTATCGAAATTTAATTTTGCTATAAAATATAAAATATCTACTTTTTAAAATTAAACTGTATGCCAATTAATTGCTCCTTAAATGCTCCAGCAGAATCTGAAATTGCTCTACCTCTATTGTTATTAGTTAATTTAAAATTAATTTTTAAAATATTTAAGTATCGAAAATTTAATTTTGCTATAATTGTAATTTTGCTATAAAGGAGCAATTAATTGGCATACAGTTTAGTTAAAAAAAAAGAATGTTCTACGCTAACTTCCATCTGGTTATAATTTTTATAGTGAAACGTTCCCAATTATTTGTAATTTTGCACCTAACCATTTTAAACCTATCTCTAGCGTAATGATTTTTTTCGCAGGTTAACTTAAAATAAACCAAATGAAGAAATAGCTTTGGCATGTCTCATCAATATTACAAGTAAAGTAATAAATTGAAAATTACTACGATTTTAAGTCTCAGCAAAGCATACGAAATGAAAGGACCAAGAAGTTTTGTAATAATCATAATACAGTTTTATTGCCAGATAGCTCTAGTACTATTTACTTATTTTCACTTTAACTTTAACCAACTTTAACCATTGCAGTTTTGGGAAAATAATCGGGTAACACTGCTGTGATCCCACTCTATTGAGAAGTAGAGATGTGCCCGCTCAGAAGTATCTTGACTCGAGTTAACTCGAGTTGAAATTCACGAAACTCGAGTTGTACTCGAGTCAAGCTACTCTAATTGGCACGACGAATTTGAGCCAATTTCACAAACTAATAAGAAGTGCTAGTGCAGTCAATTTATTACAGATTATTTATATATTTATTATTACATCCAACTCGTATATATGCGTGATGGTCACGCGAATTCAGTGCTTTTTCCCCATCCCAAATTTGCCCAACGTGACTAAAGAAGTTTTAACTTTAACAATACTAGTTGTATAGACAATTTTCACAGAATAATGTCATGATTGTAACTTTATGATGTAGGTACTTACATTATTAGTAATTTCATCATGATCATTATCATCATTACAGCCCTTTACAAGTCCACTGCTGAACATTGGCCTCCCTCAAGGAATGCCACGGAGCGCAGTCCTGCGCCACCTGCATCCATAGACAGTTAATAATTTAACTATCACAAATTATTATTAAGCAATTTATTGGTAATAAATAATATATATGCACGATGAATGAATTGTACTCTTGTTTGCTTGCATATTTCATTCAATGGAGGCTATCAATTTTCTGTTCACCAGATGTCGTTAGTTGATACTGAGGTAAAGTTTTTTGTTACACAATGTCATTTAATTTTGAAGTTGGTTTTAAATAAAAGTTTATCAGTTTCTAGAGTATTATATTAATACACAAAACAATGCCTCATGCCTGATTTGCTATTTAATTTTTTTTCATATTTTAAACTTTTTATTTTTTATTTTTCTAGTTTTATGATTATTTGTGGTTTGGTTTATTTATTTTTAATCTTATTAATATAAAATATAGTTAATAGTATAGAAAGAAACATTAACCTTTACATTTTCCGATCAAATTAACTTTCCCGCTATGAAATCTGTCAAATATGAATAATATTTTCACTTTTAAGTGGCGCCGCCTTGGTGGCAGAAAAAGTCGTGGATGGGATGTCCTCATTACCGCCAGCCCGAACTCGAGTTAGTGAAGATCCGACTCGAGTTAATAAGAGTTGAACCCAGTTGAACGCAACTTGAGGCAACTCGAATTAGTAAATCGAGTGGACCCATCACTACTGAGAAGTACTCTAACTATTATTGCACTTTTGTACTGCACTGTAGCTTGCTACATATATATTTATCTATGGTACCTGTACCTGCGGAACGGATCGGATTCGTATTTCGTACAACGCACGCGCTTGGTTCACGTCCTTCAAAGAAATCCAGTGATTGTGAAATAAAGTTTTTAAAACTTTTAAAGTTTGCGATTTGTATAAAAGTAATAAAATAAGTTAAATCCTGCTTTTAATTATTGATTATGTTTTTTGTTGTGAGCAAATGAACATAAAATTGAAAACATGTACTCTTTAATAATGACTAAAGGGCCCTTAAAGTTGAGTGAACTTTTCTACCTTTATTCCGTTGGAATCACGCAAATCCCACAGGTGTTATTATGTTGTGAGAATTAGAATCCAAGCAACCAATTCAAAAATGCAGTTTTCTTCAAGCTCTTTTCTGTGCGATATATATTTTTGTCATGAAACAAGTTTAGAAACAATAGGTACTATTCTGTAAGTGGTGTACAAATACTTTTTACGGGTAATGGAAGAATTGGAACGATTATCCAAGATGTATTCAGGGAGAATTCGTGGGGTTTTCTTTATATCATATTGCATTCTCCAGTTAACAACTGCAGCTGAAACTTCAGGTGAGGTTTTTTGAGTTTTATATTTTATATTCTTAGTTTTGAATAAAATTATTTAATAGAATGTATAAAGGCAAAACTACGTTTATGTCTCATTAAATTGATAGTGAAAACATTTTATTTATAAATTAATAAAAAGAAGCATCATAGTTTTATTGTGTGCACTTATTTCTGTATAGTGATATTGTTAGATACTTATTACTACACATTTAATTAGCTTTTCTTAAACAAGTTAGGTCTCTAGGTCTCATCACTCACCATATGGCAGCATTATGGTGTACTATGACAGTGTAATTGTTCACTCGTCAAGTCAATCCATCCTTTTTATGTGTAAATCAATTTCTTACTGATATAGATTTCCTGGACTTTCTATAAAAAGTTGAGTTAAATTTAGACTTTGTAAGTAAATAATATTTTATCTGTGAAGAATATCAAGTTACCAAAGTTATATACTAGAAAGACTACTAACTAGGAAGAGTATTTATATATACTAGATGTTGCTGGGCCCTCTCCAGTATGTAATGTGATGTGATTCACTGCGAATTCAATCTGGACATTTTACATTATAATATTTTTTTTATAGAATAAGAAGAAGAGCACACAGTCCACCTGATGGTAAGTGGTTGCTATGACCCATAGACATCTACATTTATCCTCAATAAAGAGTCAAAATGCAGATGCGTCGTTATCCATGAGGACTAAGATGGAATGCATCTTTTCCACTAAAATGGGTCGCCGGTTCTCTACACTCACCATATGAAACACAGCAGTGTCCAGCTGCCATTTTACGCTGTTATTTTGTGAGAGTGTGGTCCTTCCCCGGTCTAGCCGACCCATTTGTGCTACAACTATACTACTATTATAGCTGCAGCATGGCTCTACCACGTACAAAAAATATAAAATTTACTAACAACTAGACCACAGCTACACCTTCTGGTTCTAGATCTTGGGATTTCTTTTTTAAACTAAACAAATATATAGTGAATAAGAGACATTTTGGTGTGTAAATATAGAATTTGTTAATTAATTGTCTACAATACTACCTTTAAGATTCTAGCATAGTTATGATCCATTGTCTTTACAAAACAAATGAGTTAATATGACCTCAATTTGATGAGTAGTACTGAAGTTACAATATGACTAACAGATTAACCAACTATTAAAAAATTTGATTATAATTTTCGATATTTCATAAAAATATAATAAATATAGTTGTAGGATATAAAACATATTACAAAAGGATGTAAGGTAAGAATGAGAATATTACTTCTTTATTTTTATTAATCGCATTAATGTTTTTTTACATTTTGCTTATTGTTATAAAAAGTTAAAGTTACAACTTATATAATTCCCACTGCTAGGCACAGGCCTTCTCTCATTTCTGGGAGGATTTTAGGGCAAGGTAATGTTCCTCAATGTGTGTTGACGAACTTCACATAAATTCGAAATTATTTTTATTCTTATTTCTCAGACATACAGGTTTCCTCACAATGTTTTCCTTCACCATGTTAAATCAGTCCTTAAAATTGCATATATATAAAATGCATATCCGATAATGGAACCCGGGTTGCTAGAGTACTGTGAAATTTACGGTGAGCGCTTAGTCTTGAGCTAACACAACTCTACAACTATTTTCCATGTGGTTATTATGTAACAATTTATTATTATAAATCATTTAATGGTGGGAGGTATAAGGAGTAAGACGAGTGGGGGATATTTCAACCTTTTTAAAGGCCATCTTTTCTGTACTGATAGACTGAGCACTAGTGAATGACCGATGGTGAAAAATCTATCCAAATCACTTAAGCGAAATTTCAGAGACTTGTGTTAGGCAGAACCATCAGCTTACTTAGTCATGGAGTGTTCTGCAACTACACTCCACCAAAAACTTCCCAATATTACTAAAGATCTTGGGATAACTGTTATGGTTTTAAATAAAAAAAATCCATGTCTCTTAGTTAAGTGATAATAGGCATTGCTTTTATTATAAGTTTTATATTCTCTGCACTATGTCACACATTGTGTATAACATATATAGTCACTAGCACTGCATATGGAGTTTTTATAGCCACTACCGCAAAGTCTCACTCCTTAAAGCTGTACCACAAACATAGTACACCATTATTCAGACAATGGTACAAAATATTTGTGTGTGAAGGGATATGTCTCAGGAGTATGTTATTCAAAGACTGTGCATCATATATATATATATACTTACTATAAATCAGAGTAGTATTATTTATTAATTTTTCAGAATTTTCAATGAACTGAAAAATATATTTTTCACTTTTTATTTTAAGTTCATTTGTCACAATTTTATAGGTTTCTATATGACTAATAAGATTAACATAATCTGACTGTGAAACACCACAGCCGAGTATAAGACTGCTCAGAAATGATTAACTGTAATCACTACCACTTAGCTAGAGTTGTTGACTCCTCTACCAGACTTCACATTCCAGGACACTTTTCTACAACCGATTTTTATATTTATTGCTATTTTTTAATAACCGTTTAGTTAATCCGCCATTTTCTGATATTTTCCTTAGTGGAAAGCTTTTACGGCACTCACGTAAATTTGGGGTGTGTATAGTTTACGGCAACACATGTCTAATTATATATATGTAACATAAAAGTTAAGTAACGTTCCTTGCTTAAAAAACCTCTGAGAAATATGAAACCTAGTTCAAACAGTGAGAATTTTTATTACTATAGTATGTAAACTTAATCCTTTGAACAGTTTCTATATCAAAAGGTTATGCGTAATATTTAAGTCGATTTTCGCCTGCACAAACACAGCTCAATCAAGCATCCTAATGAACTTGGCAAACTTAGAGTGGAACTTAAATATTCAATTACTAATTAACGTCTCAATTTGCTTATGCATACAGACGTATCTTATATGTACGTAACATGCCGAGGAAAATCTTAATATAATATGTGTCATAAAATATGAAGTCAATTAACATTAAGTATAAGTTTGTAGAGGAAAACTAAAAAACCTTAATATTTATTATGTTATACGTACGTACTTTATAATCCATAAAAATTGGTTCTATATAAATTAACTTCTCTCCATAACTGCACAACTTTAAACATAAATACATTAAGTCGAAAGAAATGGAACGAAAACTCACATTATAACTGAATTGGTTGTTTAAATGCGTTTTGTTCTTGTTCACAACGATGGGAATATTCGGCCAAGCGTAACTCATTTTAATACGATATTTAAAGATGTTTTTAAATATAGCATAACGTGAAACATACTTCTATAATCGCTAAAATTTAACTAAATGACCGGTTCGTGTATATGGCTTCTTTTTTATCAGGCCGTAAAACCAAACTGTCTCAATTTAGGGAGGGTTTTGCTGTAATCGCTACATTTGGAAGGTGGAATAAAATACATTTCTTTCGATTGGACATGTAAGGCAAAAGAAACTGAAGGTATATCACCTTTTTTATTTTTAACGGTCAAAACTCATTTGTAACGGTTATGAAGAATGAATAATAATTGCACCATAATTTTAACATATTCTGCTTTAAAAAATAGATATTAAATTTTGATCCAGTGTTTAGAAAACCAGAACAGAAAAGTTCTCAAAAGATGATAGCCCATTTCTCAGCACCGTACGCGCAGTACGCGCCGTACGCGCCGCATTTACTGATGGTCTGATGGCTTCGCAGCCTCGCACATACGCACCGTACGCAAATCTTTAGTATTGCCAACAACTTTTTTCCGTTTTTTCTAACCACCACTGGTGTGAAACGGTACAATGATATTAATTAAGCTATGAAAAAAAGAATGTTGTAATAGCCTGCTTATTGACAGAGGGGAAAGAAAATAAAATTGTAAGGAAAAGAAAATTCTGGATTCACAATATTCATTTGAAAAGGCAGTTGTATGGACAATATCATACGTTATTTCGAGACTTATTAGATGATGAGGAACGACTTTTCCTATATTGGAATTAGATATACTAGAAATTTCAAGAATTGCTACATGTTCTAAAACCATATTTCTATATGGAAAAATCAATGACGAGCGCAAATGACGGGCATGAGGCAACATTGAGTATCAGCACGCGCCGAACGCGCCACATTATATGACGTCATCAGGATGCCTCCTTCAAGGCTTCAATATTCGAATACCTATTGCGTTTTATGAAATACTGAGCTTACGGCGATTTCATACAATAAATTCTAAAACAGGCGCGTACGGTGCTGAGAATGTGCAATCACCTAAAAGTAACACTTGTCGTATGTGACTGCCGTCGTCCTCTTAATGATTTATACGACGCCGCGTCAAACAGAAGCTTTTTGACTTGGCTTGGCGTGATTAGATTGGCGATCGCAGCACAAGACACCTTGTACCTGTGACGCTGCTCTCCGCCACTGGTCTAGATATTTTTCATCCAGTACTCTTACTACACTACTAATAGTGGATTTTCTACACCGCCACCACACGGCATACGTCACGAGGCATGGTCATTTTTTATCTACCGACTTCAAAAAGGAGGGGGTACTCAATTCGACTGTATGTTTTTTTATGTGTGTTACCTCATAACTTTTTAGTGGGTGGACCGATTTCGATGATTCTTTTTTATTTAAAAACTGATGCTTCACATGTGATCCCATATAAATTTGATCAAGGTCTGACTAATAGCTTTTGAGTTAATATTAATAATTTATATTGAAGTCGGTTGTACAAAATATAAAACAAAATCAAATAAATTATTCAAGACAAAAGTACTAACATACGAATAATACATAGTAAATAGATGGTGATGTATTTTTAGTCCAGTGCTGTATCTGTCCCTTCCAAGAATGTGTCCATCTTTAACAGGCTGGTTGGTGATCGGATAGTACAATACAAAATACAAATACAAAAATATTTATTCATAACACAAGTCTCATTTACAGTGTTAGATATGGATCTCACCCTTTTAAGTTTGAAAAACCTGTATTAGGATGAGTCCGCTCTTTCTTTAATCAGTAAGTCATGA